CTCTGGGAATACTCTCCATCACCTCATCTAACTCACTCCAGAATCTCTCCTTCTCTTCTAACTCACACCCTACTTGTGGAGCATAACCACTGACTACATTCAATATTACCCCTTCAATTTCCAACTTCAAACTGATCACCCTGTCTGACACTCTTTTCACCTCTAAAACATTCACCACGAGCTCCTCCTTCAGGATCACTCCTACCCCATTTCTCTTCCCATCCACACCAATTTCCGCCAGCACCCTGTAGGTCAACAGCACTGGTGGCGGTCATTGTTAATCCGGCCACGACCGATCTGGTATGGAATTCGCACTGATGATTTGCATGTTTAAATTTGGCATGTTTTAACTCGGATGCCCTTCCTGACGCAACCCTCTCTATTTATCCGGGCTTGGGACCGGCACAGAAGTCAGTGGCTTGCAACCCCTGTGGCTAGTTTGCTTATTTTGAACAAAGAATAAAATTGATGAGGTATCACATCAAACTATGAGCTGCTGTATTGTTTTCAATATTTTTAATTTAGATTTTACATACTGTCCCAGCCTTTTCTGATTTGGGGTTGTAAATAAATAAATAAGTACATGTAAAAATAAGGAATACATTTTGGATTGTTTTACTATTCTTTTAGTACAGAATATGTGATTAATAACAAAAGGAGTGAACATAATGGAGAAAGACATAGACAGTCTTCAGCATTAAAACATTCAACAGTAAAGATGTCAAATTTTAATGCAAAACTATGGTTATGTGCTCTTCATTAGTAGGTTGAGAAGCCAACATCTCAATAGTGCAGGTTCTCTGCCTTGTGTTTTATAACTGACAACAGTGAGCTGGTGATGAGTCTACAGCTGTAATGGGGCTCCCATGTGATTATACTAACACAGTCCTAACATTTGATTCAGATGTGCTTTATCTTCCACCAGGACACAACTAAATTTCACTGTGGCCATAGACTTCACAGCATCCAACGGTAGGACAGCATTCAATCTTTGTGCATGCAGGAAATGTACACACAAGTGCCCTTAAGTTTGACCTGCAATGTCTGTGATTGTCAGTTTTTACTTTAATTTATATAAAGATTACAAGAACAAAGTTTCAATTTATTTTATTCACATAAGACAATGCCTCTGTTTTACACCAATGATACTGTATGGAATCCCTGAAGGTGCTATTTTTAAGAGTGCCATCAAATTCAGTCCCCACCCCCATACATTTAGCATTTTTTCAAAGACAGCGACAGCTTCTAAACATTGTACTGATTCATGCAAAGTGGCTCCAATAGGAACAAGTTTATCATATTAAATGAAGAACTATTGCTCTTTTTTTTCCAGTTTGAGAGTTATCACTCTTCTAACTGGAAAAAACTGATCATTTTGTTACTGTATATTAAAATGGATGTTTAGGTTAAAAGAAGTGCCAAAAATGTTCAGTGAATAACAAATTTTATATCAACTAAACTAGACAGAAGTTTGCACAACAGACCTTTTATTATGCTGAAAAACAGTAGATTTGTCAGTTCAAACAACTAGCAGTACAATAAGTAGACACATCTAAATCATCTAAACACTTGAATTGACAGAACATGCAGTATTTAATGACGATAACACTGAATTGTCTAAGAAGAACTAAATGCTGCCCTTTCTCTCATATTTTAAAGTTGATACAACAAACTGTATTTTACATTGTATCATTTTGCACTGTACTTGGCTGTATGTGATTATTTTAATGTTGCATGTTTTCTCATCCCTCTGTTTTGTGCATGTGTGTGTGCTGAGTGGGGTGCTGCTCTCTCCAGGTAACCCATCCCAGCCCACCTCACTGCACTACATGAGTCCATACCAAATGAATGCATATGCCATGGCTCTAAAAGCTGTGGGGGAGATCATCCAGGACTACGACAGCGACAAACTCTTCCCAGCATATGGCTTTGGAGCTAAACTTCCCCCAGACGGCAAGATCTCCCACGCCTTCCCGCTGGTAAGAGTCACTGAGAGAGAGAGAGAGACTGTTTGGGTATCCGTGCATGACATTTTGTGATATTCACTCAATAGGGACTTCTGTTTTTGGACTTGCCAAGTTGAGCTTGCTTTTTAAAGGTTTTATTTATGGTGGAATTGTGTCAGTTCTAAATCACTGCCAGGATGTGCCCATCTGTCAGCTGTAAGGCCTCACTGGCTGCTGGAGAGCCCACTTCCATTTGATACTTTCTTAAAGTAAGAAAATAAAAATGTAATCAAATGCTCTGTCCAGGCAAAAAGGAATGTCAAGTAGCAAAAAGTATCAGTGTCCAATCATCATCCATTTGTGTGAGATACCCTTTAATGGTGGACAGTGACTTTCAGAAAGTCTTTGTTATCCAAAACAACTGTGAATAAACTTGCTGGGGGGGGGGGGGGTAGTTTTTTTTACTCATGCACGTCTAGTTAGGTAGGTGGGGAGGGCTTGAGTGCTTTCCATTTAAACTGCTCAAATTTTTTATGAGCATTTAATCAAATGAGAATAATCCACTTATCTCAGCTCTAATGGGCATTTTATACAGCTTTGGATCACTGCTTGACAATGACCAACAGACACACTTAGCCACTAGCTGGTAAACAAAGTGGAGCACAACAGATATTTTTCTCTGCAGTGAGTGAAGCCCAGAACAGAGCTACTGTACAGGGGAGTAGCTACAGCTCCTATATGACCTGGGCCCCCCATGGACACTAATGGTTGGCAGCTCAAATGGGCTTCAGAAAAATAAGTTTCAGCAATATTTTGATTAACTGTTATCAAATACTCTTT